TATTTAGATACAATTTTAACATGTAAACTGCCCCTCACGATAGAACTTTTTTTGAATTTTCGATATGTTGTTCTGGATAATAGTATCAAATTACAGCTAAATTTTTGACGGGTTTAACCACACCGTTTGCAAGATATATTGACCTTAAAAAACAATATTTTAACATGTAGGCTTATGGAGAAATCATTAAAATTTCACATAAAAAAATCGACTTAATAAACTTGTTTTTTTTTTTTTAATGAAAGAATATTGTCAAAGTTTAAGAGAGCCCTACCACAAATTTCTATTAAAAAACAGCAAAAAATGTGCACGCACCAGACGACTTGGCAAGGCTGCTTTTAACGTGAGCTTTAAATTGTAATGAATAGTAAAAACTCCTTTCGTAATTAAAAATTTAATTATAAAAAATTCAACCGAATAAATAAGTACACTGTCATCAGTAGACGACGACAACAGTAGACGACGTGCCAGCAGCCAAAAAAATTCACAACGTTGCCAGACGCTCTTCCCCACCCCTTGCCGATCTGATATTACCCCCCCGCTAACACCGCCGAACCTTCTTTACTGTAAATAAAATAGCATTAAATATCCCCCTCCTCTTGGAGTTGCGCACTGCATCGAACTGAACATCACTGAACTCTAAGTATACTAGAATTTCTTATATAGTCGTCAGTTATTCTACGATTTTATCGAAGTGGCACACAAGTAAAACGTTGATCACTTAAATCTTAGCTCGAATTATTGGATAGTTATTAAAAAAATGTTTATTAAAAATGGAAAACGAAGGATATGACGATAAGTATAGACCATCATGGTGCATGACGATGAAATTCATGGCCGAATGGGAGGCCCTAGAACAATCAGTTAAGAATGAACGAGAAGATATGGCCTCAACTACATTTCATTCCGGTATTCCTCGCAAAATCTCTCAAGAGTCGAGATCCATGACCATAAGGCAAGACAATAAACCTGCTCCATCAGACAACAAATTGAGTACGGTGAGGCTATCGAGAATAGAGTTGTAACATAATTTATCTTGTGTGGAACGTGTTGGAATTTATAGGGATATTATTTTCAGGGTACATTCGTAAGGGGCATTGAATGCGGTACATTTGCCCTTCATGAAATAAGTGCTAGCGTAAGTATTTGGTTTCTTCACGCTAACAATAAATTTTGAGTTTTTATTGTTCCGAATCTTAAGAACAATAACTTGTACGTTTTATTGTCCATTTGTATTCATATATGATGTCACCGACCATTTTTAAATACCACGTCATAATTTTTAAAAGGTTTCCTTTGTTAGAAAGTGGTACGTTAATTAGTTTTACTTGTTTTATCTACAGGTCATTAGTAGATCAATCATAGTCAAGGCGAAACACACGGGAATGCAGGACAAGGATGACAATAGTCATTTTGATTTATACAAAACATTCGACGTTTTGGAAGAGTTCGACATCGAAAAAGCCATGGTTACATTGCACTCTGATGGTGTTTTAAAGATTGAAGTTCCTAAGATAACAGCAAACGAATAAATAGCATGAAGCCAACAGCTTGAATTTTATCAACTAATTAAAAAAAGGACCAAAAAAACGAAAAGAATCAGTAAACAGCATGAAAAAATAAATACATTTTGTCAACGTGTAGATGAATTATTAAAACGGTTTTAAATGTCTAAAGGCTATTGATATAATTTTGATGTATAACAATAAATATCTGTAAGTATTCTATTGGTGTTAAAGGTGCAAGATCCTACATACGTCCCTCTCCATCTGGCATAAACGGTTTAGCCATTACTCTCATGTTGTATGGCACATACCTTCTTACCGTACCGAAATAGTCACCATATTTACGCGCCACGAAAGAGATTCGCACGTTTGTCTATACAAGTAAATACGCCGCCATTGAAGCCACTCCACTCTGTTGTAAAACACGTTGTAACGTTTATAAAATGACGATTGTAGTTCCTTTTTAAACATATATACAAACAAATCAACGTTATTCACAGGATGTAATTAAAAAGAGCGTAGTATAAG